TCTGCAGTTTCTACTCAGAGACTAATCTATGCCTTCAATCTGAGAATCTGAGAGAAATGGCACTGTAATTTTCATATGTATAAATCTTTATAAATCAGGTTTATAAAAAATCAGAAATTTTTAGGACGCACATTCTTGCTGTAATTTCACAATTTAGTTTACACTTGAGAGAATATACCTCATTTCAGGAAAGTTTTTGGCTTTTTTGTAATAACAGCAGACAGAAATGAGCTGCAGGTTGCCCACTCCTACATAACTGCAATGTTTGACATTCATCGAGGTAATGCCTATTTTGTCACGCTGGACTTCCTTTTGGACCCAAATTTGAAGTCATAACCTAGTGCTGTCTGTATGCATAGCCACTCCAAGAATGAAATAGAACTTCTGGATAAATAAAAACTTTTGTACATATAACCTAAATTCAGCTCCAGTAATTATTAAAAATTCATTTCAAAGGGTTTTTTTGCTTTTCTTTGTTTGTTTGTTTTTTTCTTAATCAAGACTCAGCTCAGTATCTACAGATTTACAAAATAAAAACCCCAAGGAAGACTATGGAATCAGCTCTAATCTTCCCTTGGTTGGTATCAAAACTTTGGACTTTCTGCCTGTGGAAAGGAAATTTCCATTCAGCAGTGAGATGGAGTCTAGCAGGAAGCCTTCAAACCACACCAAACAAACAAGAGGACACACTATTTATATGACGAAAAAGAACACGTTTACAACATGTACCAAAATATGGGTTCTTATATAAAGAAATAAACCTTTCTTTTCAATAGCAAGGATTTTAATTATTGCTTATTAAGTTATAAAGCAAAGATTTATCAAACTATTCACTCTTTTCAACATAGAGGGCTTCCATAACTGAAAATTCCAATTTCCAGTTACTGAACACTTTTTGAACAAAAGCAGTCGATGAAGAAATTAAATGTAGTTGTTTGTCTTTGTTACTGTTGGTGTGTTGAAATAGGATGGGACTGCATGCATCAAATTAAAAAAAAAAAAAAGTAAATCCTATTACTTTAGTGTTGTGAGGAAGAGAACACAATGAAAACTTGTGATAAATTTCTCAGTAAACCAGAGATTAAAGAAACAACTTGTTTGACTCATTTTTATACTTCATTTTAGACTTCTTTTTTAACTACTCTGGATAAAAATCCAGTTACACAAGAAATTTTGTACTTTACTTTGTAAATTTGGTGAATGACTCATAAGCTTGCAGTAGTGCTGTTATGCAAGCTATACTAATGAAATATGTATGCTTGGCAAAAATTTCATCTGATCCTGCCAGAATTTAGAGCACCTTTTTATTCAGAGGCATTTGACGTCAACTGGTGCCCTTTGGAGAGAGGAATATGGTGGGGAAAAATGAGTCTTCTATTCTAGATTCCAATTTTAGACTCCAAATAACTTGAATTACATGTAAACATAGCCATTGACCATAACTCTAAATAACTATTAAAAGCATACAAAATGTTTTAAAATACTTGTTTGTATTACATATTATCACAGTAAAGAACCAATGTGGCTACCTGCTGCTGCTCAAACCAATATGTATTGAACAGGCCTAAGTCTGGAGTATTCATCCTCTCCTGCATTTGGACAATCCTCTGCAGAACTTACCTATCAGCCATGTCAAATCTCTGCAGGCTTTAGCAGGTTTGTTTGCCAACAGATGATCTGAAATAGTTAAGCAGAAAATGCAACAGAAAACAGAATGTGTCTTTGAAATTATACACCTGTATGCTACTGAAAGCTGCAAGAAAAACTTGATTTTCCTAATTAAAGATAAGGAGAGTCAGACTGATTGGGATAATTACTACCAACTCTTCCAAGCAAATACAAAAATCTTTATCCAACTGAGCAAACTGCTGGGATGGTGTTTAGGCCTGCAGTAGTTGAAGACCTGACTCACGCACCTGTCAGTTGAGATCACTTGTAAAAGGTATGAGTATCTGCTTTTCCATTCCCTGGAAACGTGTGCTGTCTACCTCAATTACATATGAAAGTAATCTAAACTAGTTAAGAATAAATGTATGCAGAAATTGCCAATACACAATGGTTTCTTAAAGCAGTGGCAAGCTACATGAGTCTTCTAATAGAAACAACAGTGCCAAAGCCCTTCACCCAGAGCCCAATTTCCTTGCAAGGCTGGAGCCCAGCCATTTTCCAAATAGCTGCAGACACACACAGTGGCTGCAGAACTGGAGGCAATGTCCGGGCGGCTCTCCTCCTTCGTGCAGCTACCAAGTGTTCAAATCTTATCAATACTCATCTAATTTATCATCTAACTTCCTACTAGGAAAGCTTAGAATTGACAATGTACATCTGGATCAGCAGAACCCTCAACGTTGGCCCAGCATGATACAGACTGACATCACCAAGGATTTCATGTACTACTGCCTCATTACTGTGAACTCCACAGTTTCAGCTACTGTCAGCTCCAGTTGCTGGTCATCAGGCATGTAGTAATGAGCAGAGTAAAGCTTGCTGGAGGCTTCCTGGAGCACTGTTTTAGCAGGGAGGGCCTGCTGCCTGCAGCTGAGGAATGCAGTAAAATCTGTTAGACCTGTCAGAGTGACTGCAGATAAAAAAGCACACAACAGCCCTGCGTGAAAGCTGTGCATTAAATATGGCCCTTGCCTTGGTCTCTTCCAGAGCACCTTGCCTAGATGCACATCCTTGTAAGATGGTCACATGTAGCTGCTTTACACTTCCACAGACAGATACAACGCAGAGCTCAGGGAAAGTCTGAGTACTGAATGTTTTAAGCAGGTGACCCATCAAGTGGAATGCAAACCCTAGACATGTCACAGGCTGGAATACTTCAGAGACTAGCTGTAGATTTGCACGTAGCTAATCACAAGGAAAAGCAGCGACTGCTTTAGGTATATGACACATCTGAACCATCCTTCATCTCTGGAGATTAAAGCCAATCACCAAGGCTTCAAGGGGTCCACTCACCTCCTTTCTGTCTGATGGGAGAATGCACGAGCACTAACTGACTTTACAGACTTTCCACTAAGTGGCTTGCCCTGTCGCCTCTTCCCCACAGCTGCTTAGGTGGTGAGCACTTGCTGAAGACTCAGACACTTCTGCTTCCTTCTGCTGATAGAGACAGCCTCCTCGCCCAAGCTCATGTGCAGGATCCACTGCTGCTGTTACCTCTTCAGAGTAATACAGCTCATCCAATTGCTTTTTGCACCCAACCAGCCTAAACTTGGGATTCCCTAGCACAGAACAACCAAAACACCTTTTTATTTTACTTAAACTGTGCATAAACAAGACCTGGGCAGGACAAAACTGATGAACTGTGCCAATTCCTGCATGCAACCTGTGTTTAAGTACCTACAGGCAGCAAGTCATCTATTGCATTTTGAACCTCTTTTACTGGAGGTTGACTTATGTTATAATTCATCATTCTTGCCACAATGCTTCAAGAATATTTGCCACACCACCTCAGTCACATTTTGTTTCCTTACTGAGGGAGCCTCAGAGTAGTGCTGTTGGTAAACAATGAATTTTTCATTCCAGCTACATATCCACATGAACAGGAGACTTGGTCAAACAGGGCTCAGGACTGCACCATTCCTGCTCAGAGAGCATTTTCCAGGTTTTGGTCATGGTGGCTTGGATGTGCTTCATCTTTCTTCCTGAGAAGGACTTGGGGGTGTTGGTTGATAAGAAGCTTCCTATGACCCAGCTTCAGTGCACGCTTGAGCCCAGATCTCCCGTGTGCTGGGCTGCATTCCCAGAGCATGAGCAGTAGGTCAGGGAGGGGATTCTGTCATTCTGCTGCACTCTGGAGAGACCCCCCCCTGCAGTCCTGTGTCCAGCTCTGGGGCAACAACACAAGAGGGACATGGAGCTGTTGGAGTGAGTCCAGAGGAGGCCACAGAGATGCTGCGAGGGCTGGAGCAGCTCTGCTCTGGAGACAGGCTGAGAGAGCTGGGCTGGTTCAGCCTGGAGAAAATACGGCTCCTTAAGGGGAGGCCTTAGAGCAGCTCCCAGTGCCTAAAGGGGCTGCAAGAAACCTGGAGCAGGCTTTGGACAAGGGCCTGTAGGGACAGCACAAGGGGGAATGGCTTTAACCTGACAGAGGGGAGACTGAGATCAGATCTTAGGAAGTTCTTCCCCGTGAGAGTGCTGAGGCCCTGGCACAGGTTGCCCAGAGAAGCTGTGGCTGCCCCATCCCTGTCAGCGTTCAAGGCCAGGTTGGACGGGGCTTGGAGCAACCTGGTCTAGTGGGAGGTGCCCCTGCCCATGGCAGAGTGTTGAACTGGATGGGCTTTAAAGTTCTTTCTAACACAAACCATTCTATGATTCTATGATTCTTTCAACTCTGACTGACCACGACCTGTTCCTGCAGTAGTTTGGAAGGGCCATCACTACACCCCACACAGCTCATTTGTGTAGATTTACACGGCCAGAGACATTTGCGTCCCACTCTCAAATAAACATCAGACCCGGAAACCCTTTACATTTAACAACCCTAGCTATGCTAAATCCCCTAAACATGAACGCTACCACCACAGCAACCTACAGGATGTATGACCTGCTCAAAACCAAGGGCATGGTTTTGCAGGAAGGTGTGAAGATGTACCCTTCCTTTAGCGTGGGTTCAAGCCAAAGCTACTGGCAAAGGCTGGAGGCTGGTAGAGGAGCCGGGACGACAGAGCACGCACACACACCCACCGTCCGGCTCCCTCTAGGGAGAAGCCGTGGAGGCAGGATCTCTGACACGAGCTGCCTCAAACCAACCTCCAGCTGAGGGTCGGGTGTCCATACCCAAAGCTCTTCCAATGGTAAAGTCTTTCGCAGCAAAAGAAAAGAATCTGCCCCTTCACCTCTTCTATTCAAGAAAAGGCACTCTAGTTTCGGGTGAGCGTTGCCCTGCCCCGGCGCTTGCGAGTCGGGGGCATGCCCGCAGCTTTCTCCGGACTGAAGCCATCGCCGCGAACCTCAGCCCTCCTCCTCCCGCGTCCCCCCCCTGGTCCCGGCAGGAAGGGGAGGATCCGCCACCGCCCCAGAAAGCTGTGCCACTGGTACCGCCGCGCCCCTAGATCGGTCGCTTCCCCTTGCTTCGCCGGCCGACCCTAGCTTCTCCGTGGCCCAGAGCCGCACCGGGGCAGGCGGAAGGGAGTCCCTCCACTATGTCTCAGCCCGGGACGGGGAGGCAGCCGCCCCCCGCCGCGGTAAGGTGGGGCTCGGGCGGCGGGGCAGGTGGCTGTAGTCCCCAGGGCGCTGTGGGGATGGCAGTGGCGAGCCCCGGCGGCGCTGCCCGAGCTGCCTCACGGGCTCGGCGTGGCCGCGGTCACTGCCCTGGTGCCGTAGGGCCGGGAGTGGGAGGCTGCTGCCGCGGCGGTGCCGCCCTGGGGTGGAGGCGGCTGGTGGGGCGGGGTGCGGCCCAGGCCTTGACGAGCCGAGCCGGGCAGCAGGGAGCAGCGAGCAGAGGGCAGCACCATGGCTTTCGCGAGGTGGTGGTACGCCACGGTAAATGCAGGGGTGCGGCGGGACGGCCGGGGAGCCTGGGCCACCCCCGGGGGAAGGAACGGGGCGGCGGCGTGCCGCTCCGGCGGGCGGCCTCCCCTCTCTGTCTTTAAGACTTAGGAAAGGATTTTACGGTGACAGAAGGTACATCAGCGCTTCTTTTTTCTTTCCTTTTTTTTTTTCCCCCAAAGCGTTCGTGCAGTAGAATTTCAGGTCAGATGAGAATGTGGTGTACTCTGGATGTACTTCTATCATCCTGCCGCGGATAAGTGACGCTGAAAAATCAGGGATTTGGCAGTTTCTGTCATCTTCTGAAGTAAGGCAGAGCTTGCTAGCTGACGAAAACTGTACCCCTCGGTCAAAACATAGCGATGTGTGACATAAGGCAGAATTTTTATGGGATTGTTTCTGCTTTGGAAAAATCCTCGTAGTGTGTCTGTTCTCAGGAACATATGGTAACTGCAGGTAGGTAGTGGAGTTGCCAGGAAATGTTGTCGCTTGCTAGATTCTCCCTGAATAAACCATAGCTGTCTCATAGCTCCACGTGGTTTGGCTGGATTTAGGTCGTTAGTCATTATAAACCTGCAATTGCTGTTGAAAGTCTTCTTTATAGTTTATTAGTCATATGCGGAAACGGTCTCTTTACAGAGCAGTGAAAAAAAGTTTGTGTTCTGTTAAAGTTTTATGGAAAGTATGCACTGTGTAAGGTGGGTTTCAGAAGAAAACATAATGTATTTCCTGAATATATAATCAGGTAAATAATATCTGTTAAATTTTAAATTGCTGTAAGTAGCTTAGATAGGCATTTTGAAACGTTTTTGAGTATTGTGTATTGTGTGTCAAATCAGTGATACAGTATGGTGGAGGACACCAAGTTACAGGGAGGAATGTTTGGGAATTGCTGCGTTAAGTGATGACATGAATGTTAAAGGCCTCTGTTGTCCTGGGTCACTGAATCCAATGTACAAAAAGATGCTAAGACAGTGTGCTGCTATTTGTGATCAGGTAAGGAAACCACTGACCCACGTGCTCTGTGGTAAACCCGTGGTTACAGTTTTGGCACCAGAATAGCGCCTGCAGGCCTCTGTGTGGGACTGCAGCGTGCTCTGGCCCAGTGCACAGGACAGTTTCTGCCTGGGAGACCTTCCTGAAGGATGAGAAGGAAAGCAGAAAAGGTGAGAGAGAGAACAGACACAAAAAAGATTCACTGGTCTCTCTACCAAGGTTTTTACTGGCTTGTGTATTTAAAACAGAACAGGATGGCTGTAATAAGAATCTAGGTTTCACCTTTCCATTCCTTGCATTGCTTGATTGTAGTTCCCCTGCCACCTCTTTCCATTTGGCAGTCTCCTGAGCAGCATCAACGATCTCTGCTGCATTCTCAGTTTCAACTGAAAACAGTAGGTCAGATTCCTCTCTGTATGGAATGATGCATTTCCTTTAATATCTGCAGTGCAAAGTTGGTTGACTTAATCTGAGAGGCTTGCAAGGAGGCTTCCCTTCTCACCCAGTGACTGAGCGTGTTGTCACTGCAGTCCTCTGAGATGCTGCTCAATGGCTTTGAACCAAAAGTTCATTTATGCTTATGGGGCTCCTGAGGTTTAGTAGGAATTTCTTGATGCAAGACTTTTAGTTGAGGTCTGATTTGTGTAAGCTTGGGCTGAGAATGTAGTCATGTGTTCAGTTTTTAGAATTTTGCCCTGTGCTTTTCACTGAGGCCAGTTTCTTTCTAGTTGCTCTTTGTATAAGAAGTTAAAGTTGTGTCTATAAAACAACAGTGTCATGACATTTTTGTGCACTGTTGAATAAGATGAATATCTCAGGATAAATGTTCTGGTTCATGATACTTCTTTGTATTTTCTGAGCATGTGATTATGAGTGGGTTTATGTGTTTCAGTTTTAGTTAGTAGAGATGGAAAATATTTTGGGCCAACTTAACAACTGTAAGGAATTGTTGTTAATTCCTTAGTTGAACTAGAAATGTAACTTCAACTTCATGCCCACTGTCTGTGTGACAGACCTGGAGCTGCTCCTGTCCTCTGCCTGGTTATGGATATATTTCTTTGGCAATGTAACGAAAGATGAGTGGAAAAAAGAAAGAGTGCCCAAAGGAAAAGTCAACTCTGTCATCCACTTGAGAATGTAAAAGAGTGATGGATGCATACTGTTCTGGAAAACCTGAGCTTGCTTAGTCTCTTGCTAAGCAGATTGATTGATTTGCTTTTATTATTATTTTCTTTTTCAGTAGAAGGTTCAAAGCTTGGAAATACAGAGCAGAAAAGAGCTGCTGAAAGGCATTTTTGAAACAGGGTCTCATTTTGTCTCAAGCATCAGCTGTTCAGGGAACCAGTGCGGTCTTCTCAGAAGGTGTGTTAGAAAGTTGCATTCCCAGGTTACCTCCTCAGGATGGCAGACTTTAAAGTGAGGTAATACTTTCATAGACTCTTTTATTATCCAAGTCCAGAGAGTATCAGTGATGAATGTGCACACAGTGTGTGATTCCAACTTACTGGATAGAAAATTACTTTGGTCAGGCCATACGTGATGAACAGTATTTGGCCTTTAAGTCACAGCGTTGTTGTTGTAGGTGTTACTTGGCACAGCCTTTTAGAGGGAAGACAGCATGCATTTAATCTCTCTCTCACTTGAATTTAGGGGTAGCAAAGTTGTGGCCATTGTCCTGGTCCATTCCTTTTTCTCTCTGGCCAGTGAAGCTGCTCTGGGGTCCTTCTGGGACATGGCTTTGATACCCTGCTTGAGGGAATGCTGCTAGGCCCCTTGTCCTGCCCTCTGCAAGCAGCATAGACAGCTGTGCCTAGCTGTCAAGCTGAGGATGGGAAAAGAGGAAAAGTGGATGCTGAGGCAGGCAAACGCAGAAGTCTTGGCACCCAAGAGGGCACACTCCGAGCTCTGTCTGTGACTTGCTGGTACAGCGTTATCTTCTTCTTTGTAGTCTTGAGACCGGAGGCCCTGTTGATGCTGTGGTCCTGTCTGGTATGGGTTTCCTTGGTGTGAAGACAAGGAGATGGATTAGGGAGAAAGAGTAACACCAGATTTGGCCCTGGTAAAAGCCTGGCACACTCTGTAGGAGGTATGTAAGACTCCTGCATTCTGGAGTTGTTTTAGCAAAAGAAAAAAAAATCTAAGCTTTAAATGGTGTTGCTGCTTTTAAAGCTATGCCCAATGTTGAAGAAGCAAATGGATAAAAGCAGTAAAATATGTGCAGGGTACAGAAAGGCGTGCTTGTTTTAGTAGCTGAATCTAGGTAGCACTTTGTGCCAAGGGTATCTGTTTAGGAAGAGGGCTGGTCCACACAACGAAGTTTTGCTGGGTAGGAGCTGTGGCTCCTGAGTGTGTAGCAGTGCTGGCTCTGGACTTACCACTTTGTAAGCAAAAACGCACTTACTGACGTTGCTTTCAGAGGTATGTGGTGTGCGCTTTCATTGTATCACTAAAAAGTGCAGATAATGAGGCTAATTGTGTCTATACTGAAAGTGCTATTACAGGACACTGAGTCAATTCATCTCTTATATTAAACAACAACCTACAAGGACTGTTTTTCCTCTGAAGAGGCACAATTGGAATATGAGAATAGTATTTTCAATTTTAAAACTTGTCAAGTATCTTATTCATGCCCAAACTAATTTTAAAAACTTGAATTGTTAGAGGCTGTCTAAAACAATTTTTGAAAATGCTGTCATAGACCAAAATAGTGGAAACAGATTAGACACATACTAGTTCTTTTTTAGTCTTGCTTGTTCGTTCAGCTTTAATATTTTCCCAGCATGTCTGCTGATGTGCTTGAACGTGTTCCTATTGAAGATAGTGCAATCATACATGGATCATTACTTTCTCCCTGTAGCCATGTAAAGAAAAACCTGTACAAACTCGTTACATTAGTGGGTTAGCAAACTTTACCTCCTGCTGCTCAGTCCTCAAAACAGAAGGAATAAATGGGTCTCAAATAATCTCCTCTATTTACTTAACAAAACAAACTGGACATGAATCCTCATTCCCAGGTGTCTCAGTTGCTTTTGGAAGTTAACACTAGCCATCAGATAACAGCGACTTCTGTATTCATGGTAAAATGTTTCGTTTTTTACTATTCTAAAGATTAAACAATTTGCTTTTGAAAAAGCTTTTCTGAGGGGCCATATTCACTGCTCACCAGAGATGCAGAGAGTAAAGCATGCGCTGGATGCCAGTGTGCATGCTGAACAAACTCTGTCCTTCTGTACACTGCTACACTTGGGCAGCAGATGGGATTGCACATAAGGTTGGATGAAAGCAGAGGTTTGAAGTCCTGGAGGGAATGTAAGATGAAGGAGGTTTGGAAGATGTAGAAGAACTGTATTTCCTAATGTGTACCTGTGCCTGCACTGCTACAGCATTTAGTTCTTGCATATCAGCAGCAGAATTCTGGAGAAAATAGTAACAGCTTTCCTCCAGGTAAAGAAGGCTGGGCATAATGAGCATTCTAATGTGTCTAAGCAGGTGTTGGAGTGCTCATGATAGTGTATATTGTGTTGGTCTCTCTGAGAGATGTTCAGTTTCTGCTGAGGCTGGTGGGACTGACAGTGTTTCTAAAGCCAGTATTGAAGAGTGCTGGGCTGGTGAGGAATGAGTGATAAGCTTAATATCTTCCAGAACTTGTCACAGGAGTAATTATGTTACATGTACTGCCCTGGCATGACTTCATGACTGTGATTTTGCTTGAAGATATCCAGCAGATCATTTAGAAACCCTGTCCATTAGTGAGAAGGAAAACTTAGGATGTTCTCTTCTGTCATATTGTGGTAGATGAAAGGCATCATACATGCACTAAGATGTTTGGGAATTTCTCTACATAGAAGGTATACTATAAGATCTTAACTACGCATTTATTTTCTCTGTTTAACAGCATGGTGACAACAAGGCAAGTGGAACTTCTTCCAAATCAGGAGAGAAAGAAGCAGGTGTAGCAGAGGTAAATTCAAGTATTTGAACATGCTAAGAATCATTGGTAGTGAATTCCGCCCCATACAGGTTTTTGTGTTTTGACAGCAAAGTGGTGTAATTAACTGGTGACTGTAGTTACTCATTCATTCCAGGAATGTATAGCTCTGTCTTGTACTGCTGAGCAGCCTGCTGAAAATATTTCTTTGTTCTGTTGATCCTTTCACAAATACTTCACATTTGTATTGATGGAAATGATCTTGGTAGATATGTCTGTTCTGCAGTGCAGGTACACTGTGGGACGCATCTGATGATCCCAGTTTTTCAATTGTCCAGAAGTAGGGATGAAGCAAGTGCACTGTGACGCTTTCCACCCTGGTTGTATCCTGGCTTTTCTTCCAAAGATACAAATCCAAATTCATACATAGATGTTGCACAGATGTCTGTGCCATTTCCTGGCATGCTTGTAAATATGTGGGCCATGTTGTATTTTAAAAAATATATTTATTTGTCTTGCTTCCTCAGGAACTGGTTCAAGAGTCCCTGCTGGGTTATAACACTGGGTTTATAGAAGCAATTTTATAGTCAGAAGCAATATGGGTTGCAGGCAGTGTTAGGAACAGTACTTGGAAAGGTCAGCTGTCTCATTGTTAGCCACTGGGAGGTAGGTCCTTGTGTGCTAGTGAGTCAGGCTGGTATTACAAAGAGGAGGTGTCCAAGTCAGAATGTGAATCCTGGTACTGATAATTAGTTCCCCAAGAATCTCTTCTATTGCAAGCAGGAGCAGACCTTCCCTGAGGAAGGCTAACATTAGATACAGAAAGAGAAGAACTTGTATGTATGCCTGTTACTAACTGTCTACATGTTGGCTTCAAATGTCTGTCACTGACACAGTGAAGCTAGAAATAGGCGTGCCTGGTACTATATTCACAGCAGAAGCTATGTGGAAAATAACTTTGTCTAAGCTGTGGTGCCTTTAACTGCAGTGCAAATCAAGGCCAGTGCATGCTTTTACTGCCATCCTCTGAAGTGGATGATTAAAGCAATTACCTTTCTTTCCTGTCCAAATACCAAGGAAGGCTTGTCTAGCCTGAGAACGTGTTCCTCCTTTCCTCTCTGGACAGTTTTAATTACTGCTTAAATAGCATTGTTCTTTTATACATGCTAAGTTTAATGCCAAATTCTTTGCATGTTGTTCTGAATATAGAAGTGCTGACTTCTTGGGAAGGCTGGGAGTTGAAGCCCATAGTTTGGGTTGTGGAGTTACTGCTTCTGACCTTTCACTGGGAACATTATTTCTAGCTAGTAAAAGAAGGTTTTGCTTTTTGAGTCCTTAGAATCCTGCATTTATGCTTCCTCTTGTGAATTTATTTTTGTATTTGACTTGTTCCTCATTTACTTTACAATACTTAAAAGGGAAAGTAGATCAAATCGCTTTTCCTTAGGCCCACTGAACAGGTTCAGGCCCACCTTGGTTCACATCCACCTCCAAAGCACTCTGATATTTTTAAGCAGTTGAGATAGCAATTAAAATCTTTGTACAGCTTTCTTAAGAGTCTTCAATGTCATATATTGTCTAAAAGTCAGAGGTTACGCCTGCTTTTTGAAGCAGAAATTTATGATCTATCTGTAGATACCTGTAGACAACCTTGTCTAGCATATTGAGTTTGTTCACCTCCCTACAAGAAAAGATTTGGTAATGCATTATAAAAATGACAAGAAGACATGAAGGTCTTTGAAGAATTCATATTCATATTGAAGGGAAAATTGTAAAAGCCTGTATACTCATTGTGTAGCTAAAAATAACAATAAATGACTTTGTTCCTCTGATTCTTTGGGTATATAGTGAGTGGCAGATGCTAATTAGCTGCTTCATCAAGGAGAGCTCAAAATGTGTAAGGCATAGAATGGACTTCTCAAGCCTTTCATTCTTAGAGACTTAAAAGTAGATTGAAAAAAACCCAGCAGGTTTTCCGTAAATAAAAACCCAGCAGGTTTTCCGTAAATGAAAACCTACTTGGCAAGACATGTACTTGGACAGAGGTGTGGAGGAGATTTAATGGCTCCATTACATTTTTCCATTTCTAGCATCATAATGTGATAAAATAATGCTTTAAAAGAGTTAGGAGTTACCAGTGTGAAGATGATCTATTTAATAACACTACAGTTTTGGAATTGCATACAATCACAGTGGGGAGTATGTGCATTTTATCTGTGATGTACTAACAGATGTTAGTTCATGATTGTTCCTTCCAGAAGTATTTACTTTTTGTTTCTAGTAGCTTATTGCTTGACTATCACACAGTCCTTTCATCCTTAGATCTTCCAATGTTGTACAGAGGAGACTAGACATATTACCTGAGTGACTTAGATAAAATGTGGGGAATGGGAGGTGCTGAAACAGAGAGCTGGATTTGACTCATTTAAGGTCATCCAACTGCTCAGTAGGACAGAAAAGAAATCAGGTTGCCAAGTACCAGGCTGGTCCACTCAGTGTATAATAAACAGCATCCTCTAAGCTCAAAGGCGAAGCCATGAACTCTCTGAAGGCCGTGAGCCTTTCCATCTGAATCATGGAACAGGCCTCCCTTTCTGCATGGTACTGGTAGCACGGCTGGCAGCTGCAGTTTGTGTTTACTCCTCACTTGAAAATGCAGCTTCTAAAATCCACTCTGTTGTACTACACTGGAGGGTGCTGACACTTAAATTGCACAGCTAGAGCCAACTGATTGGCTGGAAGAGACAGACAGCAGGTGAGTTCAGCAGTTTCCAGCAACCTCTGTTCTGCTGAATGGCTCCGCAGGCTGGAAAGTAAAGGAAGGACACAGTCCTTCCCTGCCACTCTTCCCAAGTGTCCAGCTCTCACCTCCTCTGCTCAGTGGCTGGAAACATGAAGTTTAATGTAGTACTAGGGTTCCAACTCTTCCTTCTAGGATACTAAATTTAGTCTGTTTAATTTCTGAGAACAGAATTAAGATGTGGCCTTAGATTTAATATACCCTTTTTACTTTAACCCTGATCCTTCACAGCAGCCTGTGGCAGTTACTTGGAAGTCCTTTGGTTGCATTAATACTCAGTGCATTGCATCTAGCACAAGAGAGAAGGTATTGTGGAAGGGTTTCAGAGGGGCTAGGACTGTGATAATCCTGCTTCATAGGGCCATGTTGCTCTTGGATCCGATTGATCTTTGCTTCATTACCTGTTAGCAAAGACACTCATACTGCCTTGCCTTATTTCACTGGTGCTACTCAAGCACGTCTAGATAGACTGGGGGATCTACTTGCCACAGGAATGGTCAGCTTTAGGTTGAAATACACATAATCTGTTAGTCCAGTGATGAGCAACTATCTATATGTGTATCTATACCTGGTGTCTTGTAGACAGAGGTGAAAGATTTGCTGGAGGGACAAAGCTGGAAACTGCAGGTGTGCTAGAATATGTAATCAAAAGAAGATACACACTTCTTTATTAGCATAGTTGACCATGAAAGTGTGTGTGTGTTATGGTTGTATTAGTCATTGCTCAAAGACAAAGGTTCCAGTCACAAGGATATAATGTCTTGGTTGTCAGAACCTTACATTTGTTGAATTCACATTCTAAGAAGGAGACTTCTTGATCTAAATCAGCTTTAATGAAACGTTTTAATTCCTTGTGGATGTATGTCTGGTAGATGCTAGCAGAAAAGACTGTTGTTGGAATTGGTGGGTTGCTCAGGCACTTGAAGTTGCTGCATGTTTGCAGCTTGGATGCACCTGAATCCAGTAAGAGTAAGTGATGTGCTGCTCTTTTTGCATATCTGCCTGTGTTCTCACTGTGTTGACATTGTGGTTCTGAGTCAACATGTTTGCAGCATGCTATTGAAAAGTATATGGAATAGGAAATTTCATTTTCCTTCCTTGGAAAGACCTATCCTCTTTTTACTGTCATAGAGGGAAAAACAGAGGAGAGCTTCTGTATCAGTCTAAAAAACTAGCCTGTGAATTGTTGGCATCTGAACATAAAAATGCGGTATTAAAAGGAAGACAGAATCATATATTCTAGGAATTTGAAGCCCCAGCTTAGAATGGGGCCAAGTTTTACCGGCTATGGTATGAAACAAGACCCTCCTAATGCATCCTGCCATTTTGATTCATGCTTTACAGCAGTGTAGACAAAATACATACTGCTAGCTCAGCTCATTATTCTTAACAGGAAATACATTCTTTAGTTTGAAAAGATGACAATGTTAATTGGCACTGAAGCATCACTGCCCTTTTGGAGCTGATTCTTTGCTCTGACCTCAGGATTTCTGGGATAGCTTTTAATCCTGATGCTTGTCATGCAGGATTCAGTTACTCGGAGTCTAGGGGTATAACGTTGAGTAATGACTTCATGAGTGATAAAAATCTGTTGGGGTGCCCAGTACTAGTCTGGGTTATGGAAGTGCATAAATAACTTTGACTGAAGCATTTGTGAGGCTTCTTTGCATTTTGGTACCAAATTATTTATTTTAAACTGCATTGGTTGAGTTTTTATCCACCGCAAGAGCACCTGGTGGCTGCAGGGGAGTGTGATCCTCAGTGGAGGAGTGGAGGGTTTCTGAGCAGTACAGAACCAGCTTCTTTGCCTGTCTCACTTTCTTTTTGTTCTTCTTTGGCTAAGATTCAAAAGGTAGTTGTCAAAAGCATTTCTAGGACAAGAGACTGCACATTCTTTCCTCATGTGATTTTCTTTTCTTGTTTTTTTTTTTTTATTTAAAACAACTATATGCATTCTCTTTGCAGTATTATAACACTTGAATGTTATAGTTCAAAATGAATATTTATTCCTTATTTCTAGACATCAGTCTTAATCATGTCTTCCCTCAGAAAATCTACATATCAAAGAGATACATGTTTTATCTCCCCTTTATTAAATGTGGGGAATTAGTATTTCACTCTGAAACAATGTTTTGGCTTTTTGTTTTGAAGCCATTGCTAACAAGGAAGAGTAAGTTGTAAGTACCTGTATGCCAGAGCTTTCATTCCTTCATGCACAATTCTGTGCAGGCTCTTGATTCTCCTAAAGAAGCTAAGCTTTGGTAATTCATTAGCCTATTATTATCAGGTTGGGAAGGAGATGTGAGTACAGCTGCAAGGTGCTTCTTCAGCTGATTGTGTCTGAGACTGTCACAGGAAAAAAAAACTTTTCCACTTCTAGGAAGGGGAAAAGATGGGAACAGCTCTAATGGATTTGTTGATAAAGGATGTCAGAGCTGGTTTGCCTGGAAGGGGCATTGTGGGGAGGATGCTGGGAAGCACATAAACCCATTATTTCAATAAGTGTTAAAGAAGGATGAACCTAGCAGCATGATGTGGTGAATTTTTCTGTTTTTACAAATGCATTAAGGGGTAAATACCAAAGAAGTTACTGTTGAAAGATAGCCCTGGGAACTGAAATGTATCCCTCAGCCTGCTGTGATGAGTATTCAGCAAAGCGTAATGATTTGCTGTGGTGGCTTAACTTTCCATGTACCTTATCTCTAGGTAGGCTTTCTCTACTCCAGAGAATTTATTTGCTTCTTTTTCTCCTGTCTCTCCTACCTGTGTATCTTTATTGCTGTTCCACTTACCATGAAACAGAAAAATGTACACATTAACAATTTTTCCTTCATACTGTTTAATTGATTAACAGAAGTTCATGCTCAGGGCAAGGATTTATTTCACTCTATTAGGTTTTTTCCTAGCTCATGCTTGGAGGGGAATGTGGGGAAACCGGCTAGACTTGTGTATTGGTTTTATGTGGCAAGGTTTTGGTAGCAGAGGGGCTACAGGGGTGGCTTCTGTGAGAAGATGCTGAAAGCTGCCCCATGTCTCATGGACCCAGTGCAGCCACCCCTAAGACAGACCCACTGCTGGCCAAGGCTGAGTAACAGTGGTAGCACCTCTGAGATAACATATTTGCAAAGATGGAAAAGCTGTGTGTGCAACTGCAACCAGAGAGAGGAGCGAGAATACATGAGAGCAGCAGCTCTGCAGACCCCAAGGTCAGTGAGGAAGGAGGGAGGATGTTCTCCAGGTGCCAGAGCAGATTGATTCCCCTGCAGCCTGTGGTGCAGATCATGGTGAGGCAGGCTGTGCCTTGCAGCCCATGGTGGAGCAGATATCCATCTGCAACCTAGGGAGGACCCGATGCCAGAGCAGGTGGAGGCCCGAAGGAGGCTGTAGGAAACCCGTGCTGGAGCAGGCTTCTGGCAGGACCTGTGGCCCTATGGAGACAGGAGCCCACAGGAGCAGGTTTGCTGGCAGGACCTGTGACCTGGTGGAGGACCCACACTGGAGCTGTCAGTTCCTGAAGGGCTGTGCCCTGTAGGGGACTCTCCCTGGAACAGTTTGTGATCCCCTGAGGAGACATAGCAGCAGAGGCTGCTAGTGACAAACTGACCACAATCCCCTTTCCTCATCTCCCTGTGCCACTGTGGGGGCAGGAGGTAGTTAATTCAGGAGTGAAATTGAGCCCTGGAAGAAGGGAGGGGTGGAGAGAAGGTTTTGTATGATTTGGTTTTATTCTTCATTGACCTACTCTGGTTTGATTAGTAATAAAAGAAGCCAACTAATTAAATTAAACTAATTTCCCCAAGTCAAGTCTGTTTTGCCCATGACAGTAATTAGTGAATCATCTCCCTACCCTCACCTTTACCCACAACCCTTTTGTTGTATTTTCTCTCCCCTGTCCAGCTGGGTGGGCACAAGGCATCCAGCCAGGGTCAGGCTGCCACACCTTGTGCCTGAAATTTTTGAGTATGTTGGTAGGTGTTATAAAAACTCCCTCTTCAAAACAGTAATTTATTTGTGGATTTTCAGAGCATCATAATTATGTTAGAAATACTTCTGTACCAAAAGTAAGCTCTGAGTACCATGACCATGAGGTCCTGAACCAAAGGTTGAGCCTGAGGTGCAAGCTGGGAGCTACAATAATGAAGGTATACCTGGTGTACTGATTGCTCTTCTGAGGTCTGCTCTTTTTTGAGGTTTTTTTTTTTCCTTTTGTTTTTGAAAATGGAAGGAGGTAGCACTTAAAATTTTCTGTTCCTTCAACAACTTAATAACTTATTTAAAAGCTGAAGCGTTTATGGCTAATACTTTCTACTGAGTCTTTAATGCACTACATCAGTAAAACCCAAAGTGTTCTGCATCTCTGTACTGTCTCTAGAAAATTGCAGTGCATCACACCTCTGTCACCTGCCTTCAGGAGCATTGCCACCTAGGGCCGGAGGACTGCTGGTTTCTGAAGGGCATTAATAATGTTCATTGTAATGAGGGTTGAAGGGTGTGTGGAAGGAGAGTGTCTGCTATTTAGGGGCATCTGGTCAAAGGAGCCATGAGGAGAAAATAGCGACAAACCTGCCTACTTGGTCATGTAAATAAGATGAGGGAGGCTGCAATAAGAACAAACCTGACTACTTGGGCATAAAGATATTTATCTCCTCAGCTGGAAGCGTAAGGAAGGGAAGGGACAGAAGTGCAGAGATACCAAACCTGAGCAATTAGTGTCAGTGGGGGCAACAACCAGAAATGACCGTGGGCAGTGGCAGCAGTGGGTGGGCTCTGGGGAGGCTGCAGCAGAGCTGGACTTTGCAGCTGATGAGGCTGGCAGCCCGGTGGGGTTCTGGCATGCTGGTGGGGTCAGTGGGATGGTACCAGCTGATAGGTGGACATAGAGGGATCACAGCCTGGTGCTGGTGCCAGCTGCAGGGTGGGAGGCGAGTGTCTGTGTCCTCCCAAGGGCAGGGGTTTGTTGTGTGGGGTGTGCATGTGTTCACCAGCAAACCTGCAGCTGGGCCAGTGGTGAGCAGGAGACCCCAGTCTGGGCAGGGGTGTCATGTGGGCAGAGGGTCCGTGCTGAGTTTGGGGTGCTGATGGGATGAGGTTGTGTTTACTGCGTATTTGCAGCAAGCACCGAGGGGGACCCGTGGTAGCATCAAATTGCTGGGGTATGGGCAGGGGTGCCAAGGTGGCAGAATGGCCATGACGGTGCTGGGGGGACCTGCAACAGTGCCCATGCTCATAAGCCTGGAGGGTGCTGAGTGCGTGATTGCACTAGTGCCCTCCTGGCTCTGGAGCCCCAGAGGAGGAGACACAGCTGTGGGTGCTGGTTGTTATGGTGAGTTGGGTGTGTGGGTGCTGCTGGACAACAGTGCAGCTGGCTGTGCCAGTGTCCTGCCTGCTCATCTGTCTCCGGGATATGTGCTTAATTTTGTTCCTGGATGAACTTGGAACCCCACCAATCAGCCTGGTGCTGGGCTGGGCCCCAGAAGCTATGCAGGTCTGTACTGGGTAGTACTGGTCTGTACTGGGCAGCACTGTGGGTCAGGCAGGAGTGCCTGGACTGGAGTGTCTGGTGGAGGTAGTCACACTCCTAACATCCCTCTAACTGGAAAAATCACTATTATACTTGTTTTTTGAAACAAGCTGTGAAGTCTTACTTGGATGTCACTGTTTCCAGTGTCACCAGTGTGAAGTGTGAAATCCTTGATGTAAATACCCCACTTTTTGTCAATCTGGTCCACATTTTTGTGATGTCAGTCTTGCATAAGGGTGGCCCAGTGCCCCAGGCTCTGGCTGGAGGGTGACTTAAATGTGCAGTTTGTTTATCTGAGATGCTGTCCTGGTTTTGGAGAGCAAGAGGTGGAATTAATGAAAGAGGTCTTTAATGACAGAGTCTCTCAGTCTGTTACAGTACCTAGCATCCCATCAGTTGCAAACTGGTGTTTCTGAGTTTGCATATGAGGTTGGTTATTGAACCTCTGGTCATTCTGCAGACTTCCCTGTCTGTAGAGGATAATGTAAGTCTGTACTCTTTAGCTGTGTTGTGGATTTTCAGCTTACCAGAGAAATGAATAGGTCTTACCCATCTGCTGCCTCCAAGAACCTGAAAAAGCTTTTTGCTGCATTCATTACTAATCTCTTATTTATCCAGACTTTGTGAGGTGTGATTTCAGCAGTTGCTGAGTTTTTGCAGCGGTACCTGATGGTACTTGATGATAATGGCATTGCATTGGTCAAAAATGGGAGGTTGTCATGGCTTTGTTGTTTCAGTTGAAAGAATATTTACTGACTAGAAAACCCATTATTCTGCCTTTGTCTTTACATCTTTACTTCCTGAGGTATAATGTTAACTTCTGCGTGGTGGTTCAAGTTAAGTCTGTACAGCATAGCTTACCAACCTTATTTTCATTGATACTTTTCATTAAAGTATATATGGTTACTGTTGCTTTAACTGTTAATTAAAATGGAGTCACTCTGCTGCAGGAAATGGCCCAGATTTAAGTGCAACCTAACAGCCTTTTCTGGGCTAAGCAAAACTGAAATTAATTTTGTCAATTAAAGTTACATAGAAATTATTTCTGGATGACTTGCCTTGTATAAAATGTTCTAATGGACAGTTTTTTTAGTGTACCTTTCTATATACTGCTTTGTTTGCAGTTCTGCTTGGCTTTTCTCCTTCTTCATCAACACTTCTGACCTTTATTATGTCTTTTTTTTTTTTTAGAAGAAACCAGCAAGTGCTAGTGTTAGCCAACCCCTCAAAACACAGACAATTGAAGCACCTTCTGCTGTTAAGGTAATGCATACTTACAGGAATTGTCTCTTTTAGAAGTCAAAAGGATATGATATGACTTCATTCCCTGCAATGAGACAGAAAACGGTTGGTTTGCCAGCATTCAGCAACACTACAATGCTCTTTATGTAGTGAATTGAAATTAAAGAGGAGTGCAGGTCAGCAAAATGCCAGCACTGACTTTTTGAAGAAATAGACATGGTTACATTCTCTCCTTTCACATGTTGTTAGTCTCCTTGTTATTTTTTAAAATCCTGGTCCCATTGGTATCAGTGGCAAAGTTCATTTGATTTACAGGGCTATGGTTCTTTTCTCACTGTTCAGTATTGTTTGGATGTTTGGATTCTCTTTACTCAATGGGCCTGATGACATTGAAGCAGTGAGAACTGTCTCTGCTTTCATAGCTCCTGGAACAATTCAGTCAGTCAGGAAGTTACCATCCAGTGTATTAAAAGATGACTTGCATAGGAGCGCAGTTCATGCTTCCTGAAGAGAAGCAGGGATCACATTAAGTGTGCTGATGTCTTACAGATTATTAATGTTTGAAATAGGGTGCTGAAAGTATGCTTTCTCATGGTGGTTATATGTGAACTAATGGCTGTAGTTGATGGTCACTGTTTTGTGCAAGTGGAATGCACCTCACTCAAGAGTAGAGAGAAGTAGCGTATGTTTTATTGAGGTAAAATAATAATTCAACAGTTTAACAAGTTTGATGGAATTTAACAAAGTTTAACAGTGATTTGACACAATTCAGTAAGTTTGATGGCAAGGTTCACTTTATTAATTACTGCATGGAAGAAATGTAGAAAAGAAGGTTGAGTTAGAATCGAGTTAGAAGATTCACACAGAGACCAGAGACGCATAGAGTAAAGACAGCCCCTCCGGTGAGCTATGAGTGGACTCCCTTGCTTTCTGAACTCCTTTTGGAGCCTCTCTAAAGCTGGGTCCAAACTAAGTCTCAGACTTGAACAACGGTTAGTGTCTAATGGAATTATCCATTCAATGTTTATAATAATATTGATTAATTATATGAATTAGTAATGCTTCAAAGCATTAATTCAGCATGCTATCAGTCACTTATCAAGGATCTGTCATGGGTAAGGAATCTCTCTGTCTTGGGTAAGGAAGGATCTCAGTCTCAGGTAAGGAATCTCTAACCTAGAGAGTTGCTCGACTCTCAACTCCTGCTCAAGGAGAGAGTTGCTCAAGGGGAGAGTGATTTGGCATGCAGTCCAGTGCAATTCACACTACACCAATACTGATGATAGTACTTACAGACTGATGTAGTTGGCTGCTAGTTGGTAGTATAGACAAGACAGATGTCTTCATCTGTCTTGCTCCGATATCTTGTTCTTTGGTTATCTTGCACTTTTGGGTTTCAAAACCACTCTTCAAAATATTTTTAAAACACTTTCAACTCCCTTGTATGTGTGCAAAGTGCTTTCCGTTGTGCTGGTTCCCCACAGGACATGAGGCCATCTGTTCCTTAGCCTGACAGCAAAGAGTCACTTGAATGTGTGACAGTATTCCATATCTGGAGATACCCCATCATTTAAAAGATTCTATCAGCAGGAAGTGTTTCTGCTTTTGAATGTGATTTTTATTATTTTCTTAATTTATAAATTTAAGTTTATAATTTATAATTTAAATTATATAATTTAAATTTATAATTTTCTTAATTTTTATTATTTTCTTAAGAAGTAGGACATAGGGATATATAAATCCTGTTGTCCCCTTCTTTCAATGCATTTATCTATCGCTGAAGACAGCCCAACATTTTTGTTGCTTTTCTGTCTGTTCCTTACAGTTTGGCAGGGCCTGTCTCCTGCTAGTTAAGCTGATTATAGTTGTACATTTGTAGTTCCCTTGGGAGCTGCAAGGGGTGGAACAGGCTCAAGTACAATCTTCTCACATACCAGTTGCCACCTGCATGGTCCCATGGAAGCTCACATTCAATTTTCTAACCAACACATCTTTATGTCTTTTTTTCTGTATGTGTTCTTTCTGTTATAAGCATATAATTTACATTAAGTGTGGAGGCACAATTTCTTGTGATGCTATTGAGCATCATGAAAAAAATGTGACGTATTGTAATTGCCAGGAATTGTTTTATATTAGGTTATAGCAACTTAGGCTGTGTGTTATATTCAGTACTTGTTGTTTGTCCAGTACTATGAAAATACTGACCTCATGGTCTTAAAATTGACTCTTAATAGGTATTTGAAGCTTAACCTTTTTAGTTTCTACTTGACCATGAATAGTTTCCTTCATTTAGGCTAAACCTTCTCTTAATTATATCTTCTAAATTTAACAATCTCCCACAATCCTTGTTGCTTGTGAGCAGCATCTTTCAGCACTGCCAAGGTGCACACACTAGGAGATCACTGCTACCATTATTAGCAGGCAGCAGTGAGGAATTAAAGCTGAACTAACCTCCTTCCTCTGCAGAAGGTACCCTACCAGCGGCTGTGTTTTCTTTACAACGTTTTAAACTGGTTTTGCCAGTTACATAGCCAACAGGAAAGCAAATTTCTAGCTCAGTGTTCAATTATAGCTATAAATAGGCACTAATATTTGCACTCAGCCAGATCCAGTGATCTTTCTTGGATCTTTGTGTTCCTATATGGTAATTCTGTTGATACCAAATGATGTTTTGCTGCTTTTTATGTAGTAGATTTTTAGCATTGCTCTTAATGAGTAATTATTTTCTTTTTGTTGCTGGCTGCTATAGCTTAGTGAAGTGAGAATTTTTGTTCATACTACTTTCATGGACAATTCATTGAAGCAGTGCTGGAAGAATTCAACAACAGTGGAAATTTAGTGAGAATTATTTTTGTTTCTGACTTGACTGATCAAGAGAAAGCTTCTTGATCTTAATAATTTAAGAAATTTAAGGTTAGTTACTTTCAGCTGGCATCCAAATTAACACTGTTTTAAAGGGGGATTCAGTCTGCTTTCTTCTGCAACAAACAGGAAAATGACAAGAAAAAAAAGAACAATTATTCAATTATTGAATGTCTTTGAGTGAATACCTACTGTTTATGGAGCAGACTGGGAATTTTGTCACAGATTTGTCTAGATTATCATCAGAAGTGATGCCTACTGTCAGTCTATTTGCTGGGATTTATTTTTTTTTCCTGCTACATACCTTATTTAACTGTCACTAATTTTTTATCCTAAAGTCCTTTCCAGCCCTAACTATTCTATGATTCTATGATTTTGTGAGCTTTGCAGTCACCTTATTGTGAAGGAAAGAATTTTTGAGCAGAAATCATGTGAAGTCACGGTACTGATTGGGAACATCCACAGAAATGTGGCAAAAGGATGCTGGGGCATGAATTAGCAGGGCTCATTTGGAGAGCTTTAAACTAGATTCGAAGGGGGATGGGGTTGTAGCTGGGCTTGCCCCAGTGGGGCAGTGCTCCAGAATTAATGAAGACTGGGAGGCCTCCTACAATCCTAGGGTGAAATCAGTGTGCTCAGCTCGCTCCCTGAAATGCCTGTACACCAATGCGCGCAGCATGGGAAATAAGCAGGAGGAGTTGGAAACCTGTGTTAAGTGAGGAGACTATGATCTGGTGGCAATTACAGAGACGTGGTGGGACAGCTCACATGACTGAAATATAGTCATGGAGGGCTATGTCCTTTTCAGGAAAGACAGGCCAGCCAGGCGGGGTGGTGGGGTTGCTCTTTATGTGTGGGAGCAACTACAATGCACTGAGTTCTGTCCAGGGACAGATGATGAGCGAGTTGAGAGTCTGTGGGTGAGAATTAAGGGGCAGGCTGGCAGGGGGCATACTGTTGTAGGTGTCTGTTACAGACCACCGGATCAGGGTGAGGAAGTTGACGAGGCCTTCTACAGGCAGCTGAGAGCGGCCTCACAGTCACAGGCTGTGGTCGTCGTGGGGGATTTTAACTTCCCTGATGTTTGCTGGAAGGACCACTCGGCAACCCAGCCGCAGTCCAGGAGGTTCCTCCAGTGTATGGATGATAACTTCCTCCTGCAAACGGTGGATGAGCCGACCAGGAGAGGAGCGCTGCTGGATCTCATCCTCACTAACAAGGAGGATCTGGTCGAAGCAGTAAGGGTTGAGGGCTGCCTTGGTTGCAGTGACCACGAGATGGTGGAGTTCAGGATCTTGTGTGGTAGGACTAGTAGAATACCAAGTAGAATTGCAACCCTGGACTTTAGCAGGGCAAACTTTGGCCTTTTCAAGCAATTGCTAGGGGAAATCCCATGGGCAAGGCTGCTTGAAGGTAAAGGGGCCCAAGATAGTTGGTTGATATTCAAGGACTGCTTTTTCCGTGCTCAAGATCGGAGCATCCCGACACGTAGGAAGTCAAGGAAGAGGGCCAGGAGACCTGCGTGGCTAAATAGGGAACTGCTGGGTATGCTGAAGTGGAAGAGGAGAGTTTACAGGTCATGGAAGGAGGGGCTGGCCACTTGGGAGGAATATAAGGCTGCTGCTAGAGGATGTAGGAAGGCAGCTAGGAGGACTAAGGCATCCTTAGAATTAAACCTGGCAAGAAGGGTCAAGAACAGCAAAAAGAGCTTTTTCAAATACATGGCAGACAAAACTAACACCAGAGGCAATGTAGGCCCACTGATGAACGGGATGGGTGCCCTGGTGACAGAAGATAAAGAGATGGCAGAGTTACTGAATGCCTTCTTTGTCTCTGTCTCTGTCTACTCTGCTGCAGGCAGTCCTGAAGAGCCCTGTACCCCTGAGATGTTAGATGAAGTCAGGTCGACGGAGCGGTTTGCCTTAGTCGATGAGGAATGGGTTAGAGACCAGTTGAGCAATCTGGACATCCATAAATCCATGGGTCCAGATGGGATGCACCCGCGGGTGCTGAGGGAACTGGCGGAAGTCATTGCTAGACCACTCTCCATCATCTTTACCAAGTCTTGGGAAACGGGAGAGGTGCCTGAGGACTGGAGGAAAGCAAATGTAACTCCAGTCTTCAAAAAGGGCAAGAAGGAGGACCCGGGTAACTATAGA